AAAACACTATTGTAGACCTGTCATTGAAAAGCATTGTATCAACAGAAATATGAAACACCTGTATGTTGAAGGCCACGCTTCTTTCAAAACTTAAAGGTTCTGAACCAAGGAAAACTGAATCTGTCATATCGATGTACATTTTTAAGGTATAATACAGCTATAAAACTTTAGTGCAGTGTGATCGTATATCATATAGTACTTACCTAATAATATCTCAGTTCATTAGAGGTTCAAGGACATGTCAACTATTACAGTACTATGACTTTAAAGAAGCACACAGACCCCCAAAAAATAATTAATAATAATTACATATGATTTTTCCCAACATCTAAAATGGAGTGGGTGTAAACCCATGGGAGAGGGGATGATAATTATGCAGAAGGTATACCCCACTCTCTATTTCCTCTCTAAACAAATGTAAAAAAGCTTAGTAATAATAAATATAGCACAGTGTTCACTTTAAAACAATATATATACTTGGAGAAAACTTACTTCCCCATAAATTACAAGACCCTTGGTGGATTATGAAGTATGTACATTAAAATTGGCTCTTTTCCCCATCTATTATAATACATTTGATGCAAAGATCATGTTGCACTAAAATTATTCATACATTGAATTAATCAACACAGACACTTAGAAAACAATGTCAAATTTCAGATGGTACTTTAATAGAATTCCATTCATACTTACATAACATATAACTGACAGCCATTTTTGATGAGTGCTTCATCTTCTTACATGGGACAAATGTGTATTAGGATTCAGTGTGACTTTCCCTGCTTTAATAAACCTTACTCTGAAAACTAAATCCAAACACTGAGACAAAATCCTCAACTAATGCATATATTCCAACGAGCGAATAAAAGGTTTAACTTGGACTCCATCAATAAATCCAATATTCCTTCTTGTATCCATTACAATCAAAATGTCAAACAGCTACAGTAACAGAATTCATTCCAATACTAACTTCTGAGGCGTTTTGATTATTAAAAGAGTTTCACTGTACAAATTTCAGGGTGTTTGAACTTATTCTATGGCCCATCCACAAAACAAGCCTCAATAACAGATTTGTCCATTGACTGATAAAAACATACTCCATTCCATCATACTATATATGGGCAAAGAGCCTACTGTGAAAGTTTCAGATCCATCCTGCTACTGACAATCAATATCTGAATTCAAACATTATAGTCATCCAATCGTGTTCATTGATACAAATTA